GCAAAGCATGACTGATGGGGGGAGGAGATAATTTAAATCCAGAGGTAGATAACCTTTGGGTACTTTTAGAGCATGCTGTGGGTTATTTCACAAAATGGTTGCCGTATGATTTGTGTTTTGATTGTAACATTCCAGCCTATTTTCTACAATCTCAGTTGTTGTTGTTTTTGGCAAATGAGTACCTTTCAAAACAGAGCACTAAGTTGAAATTATCCATCATTGTTATTGGCTAAAAATATCTAGGGGACCAGTTTGCAGCTTAAGATGATTCCTAGAAATGAAGATTTTTGGGGAGGTTAATGGTTGGCTTAGCTGCATCCTAACTTCCCATTTACTTACAGCTTAAAGAATCTTTTTAAAAAATAAGGGCAAGTAAAACAGGGAACCTGGATAGTCATGTTGCTACAGAGTCCTGTTCTCATTTTAACTAGGATTCACTTTTCTTCTGAGATTTAAAGAAGCAATGATTTATAAGTGTTGTTCTCTGAAATATATCTTTCTTTGCACTGGCCTAGTTAAACAGCTTCATTTACAGTTAACATAGAAACAAAGAGAAACTTCTGTGGGTGTCTATTTTTCCATCATAAAGTCTTAGGAGAAGCAAGTTGGCAAAATTCTCCTTTCTAGGTGAGATTTGGGGTGCCCTCCCAGGTTTGAGGTCTAGTCCCCTTTCATGAAGTGGACTCTTCTGTCAGTTGATGCCTCATTTCCTCTTGCTTGATCATGTAATTCCAGATGCTTGAAGATAGCTATGGCATCCAAAATACTATTGTCTTTCACTAGCAAAGTGCACCTGGGCACGGGGAAGATTGCTGCCCTACCTCTTTTCTTTCCCATTGTTTCCCAAGTTGCACTTCCCCACTCTAAGCTGAATTTTAGCCTGACTCTGGAACAATCGGACCAGTGTTTCCAAGCCATGGTGATATCTCAGGGGACCAAAAGATCCTCCCCCCGTGCCTTCCCCTCCCTGAGGCTATTGCTCCATCTGAAGAGTCTTCCATCTCTCACGCTGGCTGAAGATGACCCTTTCTAACCAGGCTTGATACAGCTGAGTTGATGTAATATAATTATACCATTTGAAGTAGGCCATGGAAATGAACAGTTCCCCTGGGTAGAAATTACCAAACTCTTGTTTGTTCTTTTTAAGTGGTGGGATGAAGATATTCAGGTTATGGCCGCAGAGGGGCCTGCTTTAAAATGCAAAGTTATTTCTCCCAATTAGCACACATTTTCTAGAAAAACATATAATTACCACTACATTTTCCATAAAATATAGTCAGAACTTACAGAATTTAGATACAGGTGCAGAATTATAGTGTGTCATAATATATTTTTAAAAGCGGTACGTTTTGATGTAATATTAGGCATGACCAGGGCTTTTTTTCTCATAGAACACTCAGAACGGAGTTCTGGCACCTTTTTTGGATGGAACCTTGTAGGGTAGGCAAGGCAGGTTGTATAACATGTGTGAGTTCCGGCACCTTTTTTTTTTTTTTTTAGAAAAAAAGCACTTGGCATGACTTAACCATTTTTGCAATTTTTGTGCAACAATTATGTCAGGGATGTACAGGGACATTTTCATTGTCCTAGAGCTAACAGAAAATAACATGTTCGTGTTTTTACAAATATATATTTTATATATTTGGAGAATAAAATTATATATTATCATTCACACGAGGAAACTAACTGACCCCAACAAAGCTGGCTGGAGAATTCTGGGAGTTGAAGTCCACTCATCTTAAACTTGCTGAAGTTGAGAAACACTGCTTTAAGCTATAACTACATGCACAATCCCGAAAATTTACTGTATTGGCTAGGGTTTATGGTTATTATAATCCACAGTAGTAATATGTAACAAATACACATTTGTTAACAAAACCAATCAATTTTACTTGCCAGTTTTTATGGTGTGTTGTCCTGTTAATCTGTCCACTTTATTTTTTTATTTTTATTTCATTTATCAAATTTAAAAACCATCCCTCTCCTTCACAGAGGGAATCTGGGCAGTGGGCAAGTAAAATATTCAAACCTAAAAACTGTATGGAATTTAGATAAGAGGCAAAGATAGTTAAAATTCAATATTAAAAGTTAATTCAAAGGTGGGGGGAGAGTCTTTGCTACAATATCAATTATTTACCAAACCCCATATTGACAATTTGACCATTGTTGTTGGTTTACTGTTACAGAAGTATAATATTTGTCAGTCATAATCTTTGCTGCAACCAGGTCTTTTTTTCTCATAGAATGCCCAGAACGGAGTTCCGGCACCTTTTTTGGATGGAACCTTGTAGGGTAGGCAAGGCGGGTTGTATGATGTGTGTGAGTTCTGGCAATTTTTTTTTTTTTTAGAAAAAAAGCACTGGCTGCAACCATGTCTTTAACTATTGTTAAAAGAGAGAAAAGTTACCATTCTGCTGCTAATTTTGTTTTGTAGTGTAACCTGATGCAATCTTATACCACTCACTGACCCTCAGGTTGCCTCCTCTCATTTGGGTGGCCCACCATGAACTCAACTTCTGTTACCATCCTAAGTAATTGTTCAGTTGAATATATTGCTCATAGTGGGGCAAATGGCAGCTTGGCATTAGGAGTTTAGTTAAGACATGAGTGAGAAAGCATTGAGTCTTGGTGTCCAAGTGGGTCCACTCTCTCTCCTTCTGTAATAATTCAAGACGGTATTAGGACAATAGCTGAATTCATACAACATGTGAAAACCAAATTGTATCCTATTATTGGTTTCCGCTTTGTATGTTGGAATTGTTTTTATTTAATTGTATGATTTATATCTGTTTTAATTATATATTTTGAATGTATGCATTTATTATTTTTAAACACAAGCTATAATTTTATTAAAGACTTTCCTCCTTTACAGTATTTTGTAAATCACTGTGCTTCTCTGTGAAGGAAAATGGCACAGGAATAAAACATAATAAAAGTCCTTTCCATAGGCTTAATAATTTTCTTCTTCTGTCATATTAAAATTATTGTTGGATGGATGGCAATATATGGCAGGGTTTTAAGAGCTGCACTTGACCAATTCTGAATTATATCCACAACATCTACAGGAGGTTGTCTAATTCTTAGACCATTGCTAGAGACTGACTGCACCTTAAGTCATAATATTGTTCAGTTGGTTTTAGTTTAACATGTTATGTGAAACCAGCTAGTTTTGATTTATTAAATATACTATGGTTAAACAAATTATGGCTTTGTATGCAATAGTTGTGAGTCCAGCTATCATGTTGAAATCACAGTTGCTTTTAGTGTGCATCTTAGTATCCCAAGATTGTGTTCACCCATCTTTATTTGCTGGAGCAAATACTACAACATTGTTATTACAGTATCTTTCCAACAAATAGGAGAGAAAAACAGCAGTTATATTCTCAAGAGTAGCCTGGACAAAAATATAGCAACTTCCTGTTTTGAGGCATGATTTCTCAGCTTCCTGGCCAAAAAGAAAGAAAGATAGTACAGCCTACACAACACCAGATTTCACCGATGTCCCAAATATACAATAATCTGATCTGTATTATAATATTTATTTTTGGTGTGGAATGGGGATTGTTAGGCATCACAGTTTAAATGATCATTTGGGTACTTAAATGGAAAAAAATGTTTATTGGAATGGTTGCACATGACAGTTACCAGGGTTCAGCTGATAAAAAAGAACATTTTTGTTGCAACTGTTGTAAAATGCCAGAAATAGTGAGAATTCCACAACATTGTAGAATCATCTATACTTCATGGTTTTGGTGTGCAAATGTCTTTTCTCAGTTTTACTGCATCTTTGGAACTGTCTCCTGAGGATTGTATTAAATGTCTGTAAGCCCATTTCATCAATATTAATATTAATATTGCAAGAATCATTGGAGACTTAAAATGATAATTCAAAGGGAAAGAAAGATGTAGATTTTTTTTTTGTCTATGTGTTTTCTCCACAAGAATGTGGAAAAATCTTAGGAGGGATGGTTTTTAGCCCTTCTTCTCTATGAATACGATAGATTCCAGTCATCAGATACATGTATTAGCCAGTGCACTGAGTATGTTTAATTTTTATCTTCATTTCAGGAGTGTTTATATAGATAGGTTGAACAAAAACAATAACTGTAAATATACAAATTCTACCTCCTCCCACAAAACTACAATTTTCAAAACTGTCCCAAATCATATTAATCAATCCACCAATTCCTTGCCCTCAATATCTTCTAAGAATGGAATCTACAACAAGAGAAGTGTAACCTACCTCAGTGTGTCTCAACTTCAGCAACTTTAAGATGTATTGACTTCAATTCCTTCAATACGCAGACTGGGGGATTCTGGAACGTGATGTCCATGCATCTAAAAGTTGCACAGGCCTAACTGCAACTGGCCACCGGCAATTCAATTACAACTCTTTCTAGATTGCTCTTTGTATTTCCTAGAATGTTCTGAACTTTTTGTGTAGGAGAAAAATATTTATCTTAAGGGTTCACAGAACACTCAAGTATTGGAAGCTTGCCCAATATCAGAACAGTAAGCTTCATCCTAAAGGCAATTCCATATAACTGCACATACATGGAAACTATCATGTTTTCAGTAGATGCATGTATCGAATAATTGACTATTATTCACACACTCATGGATTCATATATAAAAATAAATAAAAATAAAACTATTGGTGTAGCCATCATAGGGAATGACACACAAAGTTTGTTCATTCTGTAGAGGAATGATAAAACAAAGTGGTCCTTAAAAGATGGTTTGAAAAGGGGTATTTGGGGAGGAAGAGAGGAAGGTCTGATGCTAAACTTTTGAATAGATGAAATAAAAGTTGACTATAGCCACCTTCTAAATAGGCCATACAATAGAAAAGTGTAAATTTGAGATGGGGGCTGAAATGTAGTTGATGGGGATGCCGAATGTCTCCTGACTGCATACAGTGGATGTATTTGGGCCATAGAGAGCTCTTAGCTCCACCCTTTGACTTTCCCTCCCCCAGTGTTAAGCAACGAGCCAGTCACAGAGACATTCATGCAGGGTATTAGGAGCAACCAAGCCTCCCTCCAGGAATGGCACTTCTGATAGTTCTCCCAGCACACAGCTCTTGAAAGCTACCAGCCTCGTGAAAAGAGAACAGACACAGAGAGAACAGAGAGGCTAGTGGGACACAAATTACAGCTAACTCAGGATTTGCCCGAGAGACCGGCTGATGTAAGTTTCCTTACCTGTACTTAGTAACTTGCTTCTTCTCTTTTTTCCTTTTCTCTCTCCTTTCTTTTTAACTGACAGCTTTCACTTCACTTATTCCTCTAGTAGATCAAAGTTACTACTATTCTGTTCAAAATACTGTAAATATGTAACTGGAAACCAAATTTTAGTTTGGCTAATTTCACTGAAGGTGTTTGAGTCAACTTTATTTTTAAATATTGTTTCCCTATGGTTGGATAATATCTCACAGAATCTAGGTGGTGGTAGAAGTAACAAGTAATGACGAACTAAAGCTAACAGCTTTGAATTTCCTAAAAGATCCCCCCCCCTTTAATCATAGAGTAAGTGAAACAGGACTAGAACCTAAAGACAAAATATTTGTATCCCCTCTATGCTGCTTTTTACCTGTTGGCTTCAAAGGGCACAATATGTAAAGACGCATTCTGAAATGTACGTCTTACACAATCACAAGGCGTTCTTGTTATGATCCTTTAATACTAAAACCACCTATTTCTCCTTCGCTGCCAATATTCTTGACTCCAGTCTCAAAAGAAGCTTATATTAGAAGCCATATTTGGAATGTAGAAGGACAAATTAGAACATGGAGATTTTTTTTTTATTCTCATCCCTCTAAGACCACACCAATTTTTATTTCATGCTCATGTGCTCAAAAAGTCAGTTGCCATATTAGAAACTTTCCCAACAAAAATTGGAAGCATCAATTAATTTAGACCTTGTCCTCTCATTTTTGATCATCATTTTTGATTTTGCAAATGATAAAATATAGCCCTGCTCTTTTTTTAATGGTTACTGGCTGTTTGTTTGATTGTTCAGGAATTTTCAACACTTTTGACTTTAATATTCACATCTATTTTTTTAATGGTAGTTCAAGCTTGAAGACTTGATTTTTGAGGGGTAAAATCAAGAGGAAACAATGACAGATGATCAAGACCTTTCTGAAGTAGAAATGAGTCCTGTTGGTTCTGAAGACCATCACTGCCTTTCACCAGGACCTTCCATGGCATCAGACACCAACTCTCATCTTACCAACTCTGGCAGTGGTGAGATGGGGAAAGTGAAGAAGGAACAACAAGACACAGAGGCAGATGATGATAAGTTTCCAGTGTGCATCCGGGAGGCAGTGAGCCAGGTACTGAGTGGTTATGATTGGACCCTAGTGCCCATGCCTGTGCGTGTCAATGGAAGCAGCAAGAGCAAGCCCCATGTCAAGCGGCCTATGAATGCCTTCATGGTGTGGGCTCAAGCAGCCCGGAGGAAGCTGGCTGATCAGTATCCTCACCTTCACAATGCAGAACTTAGTAAGACGCTTGGGAAGCTCTGGAGGTAAGAACAATTGGGGGTTAAAGAAACCACATAAGGGCAAGATCAAATAGAGGCATAATGGAGAGTGAGAGAAGCTCAGCAACTATTGATTTAGTGGATCTATCTTTGCAATTTATGGTGTTAATATAGGGAGTGTCAAAGAATAGGCAGACAGCCAATAGAATGAAACATCCCGAGTGCTGTCAATGTAAAATTTAGCTCATATTTTGATCTTGTCTATTCTCTTATCTCTGCCATCAGGCCCAGTTGACCTGGCCATTCAGTCTTAGGCCCATGAGATTTTATTTCAGCTACTATGTACTCTGCCCCTTCTCAGCTGTGTTCCTTCAGTCTGAATTCTTGATCATCTTCTAATCCAAAGCATTTGGCATGCTGGCTGGGAATGATGGAAATTACATTTGGAGGCACTTGGAGGGCACCCAAGTGGGATAGGCAAGTTTAAACCTTTGCTTCCTTGTCAAACCAAAGGTCTTTGTTCTGCTGGGGAGCATCTAACACTGGAGCAATGATTTTCATGAATCCAACAATGTTGGAAAAGAGAAGTTTTACAGAATATTTTCTAAAACAATTCAAATAACTACCTTTTTTCTCCATGAGGGAAAACAAATCCTTTTATTGGAGAGAAAGAACAAAATGATTACTAATAATATGGTGAGATGCAGGTACAATGAAAGAAATAGAAATAGCTTGTTCTTATTAGAAACCATCCCATTTTTAATCACAGGGATGAATAATTTACAGTTGTCTGAAAGTGATATTATGATGGGATTTAGTATAGGATTGGTAACAAGCTTTGAAAAAAAAGGACTAGTGGAGAAATGAGGAATTTAAAATTAAAGATAGGATCCTTTATATTGCTAATTAACCACCCTCCTCCTTTATAAATAGGTAATACTTGACTGATCAACTGGGCATATGTAACTTTTGGGTGATTAAACTGAGGGACAGAGTTATCTTTATGGAACTATACACTTAGCAGGAATAAGCCAGCACCTACCCAACAGTAGGGATTGTTGCATTGTCCATGCTCTTCTGTTACATGGACCTAGACTTGAGGAGGCACTTGCATTTCAGATACACTACGCTTTCCAGCATTCAGATCATATTAAATTGCTGCTGGGAGAAAAATGCAATCAATTATCACATCTAGAAGAACCTATTAGAATACAATTATGAGGATGTCAAGGGTATCCACTGAAGAGTGTTCATGACATCATTGATTTAAAACAGATATAACTCAATATATATGTGCCATAATAATAGCTTGGAAAAGAGGACTCACAATGGAGCTGAAACTAAGTAGATGGAAACAAAGTATGGAAAGGCCTTTGATTGTTTCATCTTCACATCAGATAATCCTGATGCTATAGCCTAAGGATTCATTTGTATAATTAAAATGGTTATTTTAGCATGGGACTTTTAGCATTAGAGGTTAGCTGATTTTAGATTCTTCATTTTGTGGGGAAAGTATAAGCTGACTTATACACTGACGTCTAATCAAACATTTAAAAAGATGATTAAGAGGAAAGTATAAAATTTGCCTCTCTTCCTGTCATATTGCATTATAACTTCAGAATTCTGGATATGCAGGAGTTTCGTGCAAAGTCTCAGATGAGGCAGACTTGCTTTGATTGATCATCCAAATAAACCTTAAAGTTGGATTCTGTTGCTGGGAGATATTCTTTTGAATTCAGTGTAACACATCTGAATCAATTAAACATCACACCAAAAGCTTGAATAAAGGTTAAATTAATTTTATTATTTCTAATATGATCCTCAGAATTGGGGTTTTTAAAAAGTCTACTTTTATTCAGATAGTGGAATATTAGAAAATAGCTTTGGAACAACAAAAAAAATGAAATATATAATTTTCATCATATCACGTGATTCTTTCAGACAAGGAAATATAAAAACAAGGGACTCGAAATTCCAGGATCTAGCCACACTGCTTGCTTTCAAGACTTTGCCCCATCCCACCCGACTATCATTCCTTCAAAAAATCTAAATAAGTCTTAGTTCATGTGATTCATTTTGCTAAGCAATTTGGTTATGGGGAGCAACAGAGTACCCATGTGATGTTGGGTTAAGAATTCCACTTCTTTCTTGGCACATTTGTAATTGACTTCAGCTAAAAGGCAAATGATTGACTAGAGTTCAATAGTGTACAATAGTACATATTGCATACTGAACTTCTTATGTTCTTCTCAAAGAGGGCTGAAAATGTTTAAATCTTAAAGAGCTAATAGGACAAGCAACTGAGGTGATCTAACTTTATAAGCAGCACACTTTTTTTTATTACCTCCCTAAAATTGTTTGATACATACTCCATTAAGACACTGGGGTTTTCTTAATGAAAACAAACTTAATATTAAGGATCTCAGTTCTTTAGCCATGTGATTTAAAGGCAATTATCTTTCTGGATTAGATAGATGTGAAACAGAGATATTGACTACAAGTCATATTAAATTGCAGAACCTCTGTGAAATCTATTCTCTCCAGTATTTTAGTTTGTCTCTTTGGTGCTGGAGAAAAGCATTCACAAAATATCTGACAGACTAATTTCTTGATTGCAGTTTATCAGAATCTGTTCCTACTTCTTTTGACTAACTCAAGCAAAAGGGCTTCCTAAAAATAAATAAATATAAAGAAACATAGTAGATCACAAATAAGATTTCTAAGGTATCCTGCTCATATCTCATTTTTCCCCAAAATATCCTACAAAAGAATTTTTGTAAACAGTTCATGATGAACTACTTTGATGAACTCTGGCTTCTTAAGGTTACAAAGACATTGTTACTTCATAAGAGCCTGTTTGCATTCTCTATTGCACAGACTATTAAATCTACTGTTACTACTACAACTGCTATTGCTGCTACTAATATTTGGAGCTTGAAACCAGATTAACATAGTTTTGACACCTAGACAATTTAAGTTTTACAAAACCAACCCATTCTATTAAAAATGACATTTATTTATTTGTTTGTTTATTTAATATTTATTTAGTTGAAAAAAAAGTTAATGCGCATTAATTTTCTTGATCCTTGTAAACAATTATTTGTGATGAGTTGTTCTTTGACCAGCTACACATTTATTTCTGCTAATACTGGTATAATCATAGGTTAGTTATACATTATTAGACAGTGTTGAGACATAAACCAATAAGGCAATCAATGTCTTTGTTTAATTGCATTAAGATCAGTGTTAAGTACATACTGTAAATGCTAAATTGGTGTTGATCATATCACCAATGAGTAGATTAAGCAGCAGTGTAAGTATCTTCCCCTTCTTCTACTTTGTTATTAGATCAAGTCAGTAATCATTATAAGATCCTTCTTCCTATTTTTTCTCTGATGATTAGATGCAGTAATTATCGAACTATTACAATAGTGTAAAAATCAATCATATTAAATATTGTGACTCCTGCAAGGGCAAATCAAATAAGTCGAGCATTTTGAAGTGCATCTCTTCTTTAGGCGGGAGGGAGATATACCAAATTTTTGATTTATTTTAAAGTCATCTTCAAGCTCATTGATGATACTAGATTGTAGCCATTAGCTTTTGAACATATCTGATTTGTAACAGAGGACACGGAATGCTAGTCATATTTTTATGTTTTTGTTTTCATTAATGTGATGTTGCATTTACTTTTATATTTGTCTTATTATATTTTTGCCTGTATATTTTTCAAAATGAGAGTTTATAATCTTAAACACATCAAAATAATGATGCATGCTGAATTCAACAGAATTTGCTTCTATATATATACCCTTAGGGTACTATACAATCAAAATCATACAGTTATAATTAGTTATTATGTACCTGCTAATTATACTCTATATAATGAAGAGCTCCATAGAATATCTATGACTTCTTTTTAAATATTATATAGTGGTATATATCCCTTGTTTCATGCACAACTCTTGATCATATATATATTTCTTTTTGCCTTAATATCCCATTATATTTATTGACGCTTGCTGTGGTCCTGCTTGGTTAGTTCTTGTTTTAGGAAAGCAGTCACAGCATATCTAAGGGACAAATCAAAATGGCTGCTTTCTCAATAATCTTGATTTATGTCTCTATTTGCTTTGCCTTGTTTGCTTTTGTTAACAAAAACTTCCTTGTATTGCTCTTCTCTTACACAGCATTTCTCTTTTTTTCTTTTTATATCTTGCTGCCAACATTTTAAAATCACCCTAAATATTATTTAAATAAATATTATCTTAACTATATAGTCATAAACAAACAAACAAACAAACAAATATTTCAGGTTTTTTAAAGTATTTTGTCCTAATTGAAAAACAATTTTACTTCACATTTTCAATATAAAGCTCACGTACAGCAGAACGTCAGTCATTAAAATGTTAAGTTTGGAAAAGTCATTTTCTTTTCTGATCCCAGATACACAGAGGGTGTTTCCCAGATCTCGTGGCCGTGTTCTATGGGAACTACAGCTGCCACTCCTATCCTTGAGACTTCCAGGAATTCTGAACGGGCAGAAGCCCCATGTCTGCCTTCCCAGGTCAATTAGACAGGAAAGCCACCAGATGAGCTAATTTTACTTAATTGTAAGACTGCATTAAGAGAATCTTCCAAGTCTGACAGTAGAAACTTTTTGCCGTTTCTTTTACTGTCTGATAAATTAGGATTGTTCCTTTCTGAGTTTCTTTCTCTGCCCATTATGCAGCTGCAAGTTGTATCCAAGTAGCATCTCTTCCCCCCATCTCCCAAGGTTATTCTCACATACCATTACATCCATTGCAATCAAGGGACAACACAGTAAATATCTTTCAGTAGATTGGTGCTACAGTGATTTATTTATTGAGTCACTTAACTTGGAACCGGACAATAACAATTCTGTAGAATAACTTTTGGCCACCAGATGTCCTCCAGGTATGTTGGACTACAACTCCCATCCCCTGGAACAGAATGATGGTGATATGGTCTAATACATCCAGAAGGCATCGAGCTATAGAAGGCTAATTTAGGATACCAAAAAC